TATATTCGCCAAGGTGGAGATTGTTGTGTTTGGCTCATATAATTATGAGTTGGCAAACATTTCCTCTCAACTTTGTGGACTTTGAAAGCATGTTTTGTGGAAGCATGTTTTGTGGAAGCATGTTTGAGGAAGCATGTTTTGTGGAAGCATGTTTTGTGGTTGACATAATTGATGGTGCATGTCTATAAGTGAAGGCATTTTTCACACACAAAATGTAGAGAGCTTGTCGATTGTGAGGATTGGGAGAGCATCCAAAGGAAAACACAAGTGAGAGAAAATATAGAGTGAGAGTGAGAAGCTCTTGGGGAGAGTAAGACTCTTGGGAAAATTCTGTGAGGGTACAAGGGATTGGGGTTTGGGTTATGTCGATTTAACTCAAGTGTATCTTGTACTAGTTATTCTCATAGTGAAGAGTAATATCTCCGGGGACGTAGGCAGGTTTTTGCCGAACCTCGTAAATTTCTCGGTGTCTTTATTTCTTGTATTTTAAATTGTTCAACTGTTGGTTTATAAGTTGGTGAGATAACGGGCCAAGGCACAACACATGCATGGTTGAAAAAATCAAACACTAATTAATCATGCATGCACAAATATGTATATGAACATCCCAAAGTCTTCCCGATAAATTATTATGGCTTTCTTCCAGTTGTGAATGTTTCCCCTTAAACTCGATCATCTGTCGATTTGGGAGGGAATAAGATTATCTAGCAAGGGAATCTCACAGGCTACAAACTTGATCATCTTGTTGTAATCTGGTTTGGTATTTGGAATTTTGGATCGAGCGAGTTGGGCCTATTATTTCCACTATATATATATATGTAATTTGGTAAAAATTTCCACCCCTAAGTGATTGTATATTTTTTTTTTACATTTTTTACACTTCAACAATAATTATTATTAATTTTACCCTCAAATGATTATATGAATAAATACATAATATAATATTAATAATATTGGTAGGTACGATATACCACGGGTATTGGTTTTTGATACTAGTACCGTACCGAAACAGTATGGTACGGTACAAATACCGTATTAAAACAGTATGGTACAGTACAAATACCGTACCATTACCAATTGGTACAAAGTTTTGGTAATAATTTGGTATGGTATGGTTGGTACGGTAATTTGGTAAAAATTTCCACCCCTAAGTGATTTTTTATTTTTATTTTTTATTTTATACACTTCTACAATAATTATTATTAATTTTTCCCTCAAATAATTATATGAATAAATACATATTATTTTATTAATAATATTGGTAGGTACGGTATACCATCGATACTGGTTTTGGATAACAGTACCGTACCGAAACAATATGGTACGGTACAAATACCATACCATTAACAATTGGTACAGATTTTTGGTAATAATTTGGTATGGTATGGTATAGTTGGTAGGGCGGTTGGTACGGTAATTTAGTAAAAATTTCCACCACTACATATTTATGGTGATTGAGAAGCAAATGAGGTGTTTCTTGTAGCTGTGAATCATAGCATGGGCGATGAATGTGCATGTGTGAAGGCTGATATAATTGGAGTGTGAACGCTAGCTGATCATGCATGGTTGTCATGCATGCACAAATATGTATATGAACATCCCAAAGTCTTCCCGATAGATTATTATGGCTTTCTTCCAGTTGTGAATGTTTCCCTTTAAACTCGATCATCGGTCGATTTGGGAGGGAATAAGATTATCTGGCAAGGGAATCTCACAAGCTACAAACTTGATCATCTTGTTGTAATCTGGTTTGGTATTGGAATTTTGGATCAAGCGAGTTGGGCCTATTATTTCCACAAAATATATATATGTAATTTCGTAAAAATTTCCACCCCTAAGTGATTGTATATTTTTTTTTTTACATTTTTTACACTTCTACAATAATTATTATTAATTTTGCCCTCAAATAATTATATGAATAAATATATAATATAATATTAATAATATTGGTAGGTATGGTATACCACTGGTACTGGTTTTGGATACCAGTACCGTACCGAAATAGTATGGTACGGTACAAATACCATACCGAAACAGAATGGATGGTACAAATACCACACCATTACCAATTGATACAAATTTTTGGTAATAATTTGGTATAGTATGGTTGGTAGAGCGGTTGGTACGGTAATTTGGTAAAAATTTCCACCTCTAAGTAATCGTATATTTTTTTAAATATTTTTTACACTTCTACAATAATTATTATTAATTTTGCCCTCAAATAATTATATGAATAAATACATAATATAATATTAATAATATTGGTAGGTACGGTATACCATCGGTACTGATTTTGGATACCAGTATCGTACCGAAATAGTATAGTACGGTACAAATACCGTACCATTACCAATTGGTACAAATTGTTGGTAATAATTTGGTAAGGTATGGTTGGTACGGTAATTTGGTAAAAAATTCCACCACTACATATTTATGGTCATTGAGAAGCAAAATGAGGTGTTTCTTGTAGCTGTGAATTAGTGCATGGGCGATGAATGTGTTTGTGTGAAGGCTGATATAATTGGAGTGTGAATGCTATCTGATCATGCATGGCTGAAAAAATCAAACGCTAAATAATCATGCATGCACAAATATGTATATGAACATCCCAAAATCTTCCCGATAGATTATTATGACTTTCTTCCAGTTGTGAATGTTTCCTTTTAAACTCGATCATCTCTCGATTTGGGAGGGAATAAGATTATCTGGCAAAGGAATCTCACAAGCTACAAACTTGATCATCTTGTTGTAATCTGGTTTGGTATTTGGAATTTTGGATCGAGCGAGCTGGGCCTCTTATTTCCACTATATATATATATATATATATATATATATAATTGGGCTCTGTGCTTCAGCTTAACCATCAAAACAAAACAAAACAAAACAAATCAAATCAAATCTCAACAAGTTGGGCTCTATCACTATATATGTTTCGCAAAGTGAAACCTTGTTGGGAGATGAACCATTCCCTCATTCCATGGGAGATGAATTCGTATGTGAATACTGTAATCTTGTAGCTGTGCATGGGTGATGGGTGATGAATATATGTGTGAACACTCTAATTATAGAGATATAATTAGAGTGTGAACAATGATCACGGCTGATCAATTACTAATCATGCATAATTATGTACATGAACTCATCCTCTAAGTCCTCCCGATAGAGTATGGGCTTACCATTAGTAGTTATTATCCAGTTAATATTCACGTTAGATTTTTATCATTCTCAATAATCAAGAGCCTTGGAATTGTAGTACAATATAGCTAGCCTTAATTAGAGCTGCAATACATACTTAATAGAGGTGACAAATAGGTTGGCTCGTCTTGGCCAATTTATTTAAAATCAGTCCACATGTGTTGTATCGTGCTTAGGTCAATCCACTTAATAAAAGGGACGGGCCAACCTAATTTGTTTCAAAAACATAGTTCTAGTGACCAAATATGCTTGCTTGTATTAGTTATTACCTAATTAATATTCACTTAATAAAAGGGATGGGCCAGCCTAATTATTACCTAATTGGTCCTCACCGAAGACATCCACATAAATCAAAGGTGGAGAAGCCGAGTGAAACTGAAGTGAAAAAGGTTTAGCATTTAGGAGTTTGGGTTTGAGATGCGATGAGAAAATGGTGAGGTTAAAGGAGGATTGATATTACGTATTTATGGTGATTGAGAAACCGTGCATGGTTGATGAATTAGTATGTAAACATTGTAATCTTAGAGCTGTGCATAGGTGATATGTGATAGATGATGAATATGTGTGTGAACAATCTAATTATAGAGATATAATTAGAGTGTGAGCAATAATCACAGCTGATCAATCACTAATCATGCATAATTATGTACATGATCTCATCATCTAAGTCTTCCCAGTCGAGTATTGGCTTACCTTTATTAGTTATTATCCAGCTAATATTCACGTTAGATTTTTATCATTCTCAATAATCAGGAGCCTTGGAATCGTAATACAATATAGCTAGCCTTAATTAGAGTTGCAGTACGTACTTATTATAGGTGACAAATAGGTTAGCCCATCTTGGCCAATTTATTTATAATCGGCCCACATGTGTTGTACTGTGCTTAGGTCGATCCACTCAATAAACCGGACGGGCCAACCCAATTTATTTCAAAAACACAGTTCTAGTGACCAAATATGCTTGCCTTTATTAGTTATTACCTAATTAATATTCTCGTTAGATTATTATCATTCTCAGTAATCAAGAGCCTTAAGGCTATAGTACAATATAACTGGTACAATAATTGAGAGTCTTATTAGTTTTCTAGCTGCTATGACTCTGACCGATCGACCAACTATGACATTGCTGAGTTCACTTGCCAACAATTCACCTACACTTTACTGTCACAGATGTAGCTGGGGAGATGCAACTACAGTAGCAAAAGCTGCGGTCGATGGGTGGGGGAGTAGGAATAAGAGGAGGAGAGAAAAGGTGGTGGCGAAGAAGAGTACTCTGTTTTCCATCTCCATTGGAAAATAAAACAGAGCAAGTTTGAGAGGATGGGCTTAGAGCATTAAGGAGGGCTTAGGAGATGAGAGTTCGGGAAGCACATCTGAAAAGATGAGAAAAATGGAGATGAGGTTAAAATGAGGATAGAGAAAGGGCATATTTATGGTGCTTGAGAAGCAAAATGAGGTGTTTCTTGTAGCTGTGAATTAGTGCATGGGCGATGAATGTGTATGTGAAGGCTGATATAATTGAAGTGTGCTAGCTGATCATGCATGGCTAAACAAATTAAACACTAATTAATCATGCACAAGCTTCTCAAAAACGCTAGCCGCTAGTCGGGTGGCGGGCAGGGGTTTAGCGCCTAGGCGGCTAGGCGGGGCCTAGGCAGATTTATGAACATTTATTATATATCTTGTAAATAAGTGTCTATTTACACTTAAAAAAACTATACTTGTATGGATAATAAAAGAATGACAAAATGAAAAAATAGAAGCAGAAAAATACACAACGCACATCCATCCAACAAGTTCAATATTTAAAAAACAGTAAGCATATAATCATAACAGGCGGTCTGCAGCCTGGTCACGTACTCCCGGTCCATGTTGTCGTCGTTGTAGATGCGATTGCGGAAGAAACGGCAGCTCGACCCCCAAATGGTGTGGGCGTCAAACAGAGCCATCATCTTTGCCTCTGTGAAGCCCTTGGTGGCGATAGGGGAATCTGGGCTGGGCAGCTCGATGGTGGCGCTGGCATTGGGCGCCAAGGAATCCCTTCGGCCAAGTAGGAGGTCCCAACTTGGCCTGCTTACGGCAACGACCCCTTCTCTGGCTGCCACGGTCAGAGTGTCGGTGCAGGACACCATGCTCGGGCAGACATGCTCAAGCTCCGACTTTGCGGCGTCGACGACCTGGAAGCCGCGGAGGGAATTCTTATTCGGGGGGGGTGCCCTTCTCTCCTTTGATGGCAGGGGTGTTGTCCAGGAAGACGAAGCCATTATAGCCCTGCTTGAAGCAGTCGTGGAAGTGCATTTGGAGGAGGGAGGCCCCGAGTCGAGGCTCCCCGGCGACGGCCCTTTGGACCACTGCGCGGATGACGGAGGTGGCCCTGGGGCAAGTGGTGTGGTAAAGGTTGAGGACAAGTAGGGAGATGCAGCTGCAGTAGCGAAAGCTGCGGTGGATGGGTGGGGGAGTAGGAGTAGGGATAAGAGGAGGAGGAGAGAAAAGGTGGTGGCGAAGATGTTTTCCATGTCCAGTGGAAAAGAAAACAAAGCAAGTTTGAGAGGATGAGCTTAGAGTGAAGATGGGGTTACAAGGAGGATAGAGAGATGGCATATTTATAGGGGTGGTTTTGGTACATTACCGTACCAAACCCTCTGTACCAATTACCATACCAAATATTTGGTACATCAAAATCTATTACCATTATCGTACCAAACTTTTGGTATACTAAATAGTTTGGTTGGTATGGTATGGTATGCCAAAGGTAATTGCCACTTTGCTTTACGCCACTTAGTTTGCCCAAAATCTAATATTTTTTAATTAATGTAGAAGTGTAAAAAATATAGAAAAATATATAAACGCTCGTAATGACAAACTTTACAACTTTTGTGAAGAGCTTAACTTTGAAATTCACCATTATAATCATATAAATCATAAATCAAAATTTAACCATTGATTGTTGTTTACATATACGTTTCATTTTTCTTATCAAATTTTGTTTTTTTTTTTCGGATTTTCTTTTTTGAAATCATGATCTATTAGAGATGCAGGAAGATGAATGGTTTAGATCGTTGATATTATGTTTAGAGTTTTACGGTTAGTGAAAATATTGCTTGATGTTTATAAAGTTTCTACAAACTATATGACATCGACTCATATTTCAGTTAATCGTAAATATTGAAACGTGATATCAAAGATCTGAACCGTTCATCTTCTTACATTCGCCAGATGATCATGTTTTCAAAAAAGAAAATTTAAAAAATGAAATTTAGTAAGAAGAATAAAGCGTAAATGACAATCGACGGTTAAATATAAATTTAAGGTTTATGGATTATAGTGTTGGAATTTGAAGCTGACCCCTTCATGAAAGTTGTAAAGTTTGTCACTATGAGTGATTGTATATATTTTCTTACATTTTTTACACTTCTACAATAATTATTATTAATTTTTCCCTCAAATAATTATATGAATAAATACATAATATAACATTAATAATATTGGTAGGTACGGTATATCACCAGTACTAGTTTTAGATACCAATATCGTACCATTACCAATTGGTACAAATTTTTGGTAATAATTTGGTATGGTATGGTTGGTAGGGCGGTTGGTACGGTAATTTGGTAAAAAGTTCCACCCCTAAGTGATTGTATATTGTTTTTACATTTTTTACACTTATACAATAATTATTATTAATTTTGCCCTAAAATAATTATATGAATAAATACATGATATAACATTAATACTATTGGGAGGTACGGTATACCACTGGTACTGGTTTTGGATTCTAGTACTGTACTGGAACAGTATATACTTAATAGAGGTGACAAATAGAGGTGACAAATAAACGGGACGGGTGAACCCAATTTATTTAAAATCGGCCCACATGTGTTGTACTGTGCTTAGGTCAATCCATTTAATAAACGGGATGGGCCAACCCAATTTATTTCAAAAACACAATTCTAGTGACCAAATATGCTTGCCTTTATTAGTTATTACCTAATTAATATTCACGTTAGATTATTTTCATTCTTAGTAATCAAGAGCCTTAAGGCTAGTACAATATAACTAGTACAATAATCAAGAGTTTTATTAGTTTTCTAGCTACCATGACTTTGACCGACTGACGAACTACGCCATTGCCGGGTTCACCTGCCAGCAATTCACCTGCATTTCTCCGTCACCTCTTATTAGCTGGCTCAAAGCCTTGGCTGGGTAGTTCCATAATGGTGGTGGCATTGGGTGCCATAGAATGCCTCCAGTCAAGCTGGAAGTCCCATTTGGCTCGCCCACGGCCATGACCCCTTCTTTGGTTGCCAGGGCCAAAATGTCCGTGCAGGGCACCACGTCAGGGGCAGACATCCTAGAGCTTGAACTTAGCAACATCGACGACCTGGAATCAGCAGAGTGAATCTTTGTTGGGAAGGGTGCCATTCTCTTCTTCCATGGTGGGAGTGTTGTCCAGCAAGACGGAGCCATCGCAACCTTGCACGAAGTAGTCGTGGAAGTGCATGCGGAGTATGGAGGCTCCAAGTTGAGCCTCCTTGGCGACAGTCTTTTGGACGACTCGGTGGATGATAAAGGTGGCTCAGGGGCAAGTGTGTTGGTAAAAGGTCGAGGACAAGGGGAGATGTAGCACTTGCAATGTATGGGTGGGGAAGTAGGGATATGAGGAAGATGGGAGAAATGGTGGTGAAGAAGACTTTGTTTTCTATTGGAAATAAAACAGAGGAATCTGGAAGTGAGAAGGGTTCAACGTTTAGGAGTTTGGGTTTGAAATGGGATGAGAAAAGTGGTGCCGTTAAAAGAGGATTGATATTACGTATTTAAGGTGATGAGAAACTGTGCATGGGTGATGAATCAGTATATGAACACTGTAATCTTGTAGCTGTGCATGGGTGATATGTGATAACACTGATAGGTGATGAATATGTGTGTGAACACTCTAATTATAGAGATATAATTAGAGTGTGAACAATGACCATGTTGATCTATTATTAATCATGCATAATTATGTACATGAACTATTCCTCTAAGTCTTCCCGATAGAGTATAATACTAGAATATTGCTTTCGTCCAATTGTGTATTTTCCCTTTAAACTTGGTGATATCTCAATTTGGGAAGAATAAGATTATCCGGCAGTCTCACTACAAATCATCTTTTAAAATCGTACTCTTCTCCCATATATGATAGTTAATATGGTTTTGTATTTGGAGTCGAGTCTTCTTTCATTCTATATATAGAATTGGGTTATATGCTTGTGGATCAGATCAGATAAAATCAAATGTGAAGAAGTTGGGTTATATGTTTGGTGATTTAATTGGGCTTTTGGTATGTTTACTAGTCTAATTTGTTCCAATAACACAATTCTAGTGATCAAATATTGCTTACCTTTATTAGTTATTATCCAATTAACATTCACGGTAGATTTTTATCAGTCTAAGTAATTAAGAGCCTTAGAACTGTAGTGCAATATAGCTAGCTTTAGAGCTGTCGTCCGTCCTTAGTAGAGGTGACAAACAGGTTGGCTTGTCTTGGCCAATTTATTTAAAATTGATCCACATGTGTTGTACCATGCTTAGGTCGATCCATTTATTTCAAAAACACTAGTGACCAAATATGCTTGTCCTTATTAGTTATTACCTAATTAATATTCATGTTAGATTATAATGTAATATAACTAGTACAATAATAAAGAGTCTTATTAGTTTTCCAGCTCTGCTGCTTCGACTGACCAATTACGCCACTGTCGGGTTGACCTGCCGACAATTTACCCACACTTCCCCATCGCCTCCCCTCAGATGACTCAGGGCCAACATCTTCTCCATCGCCGCCACCAAGTCTTCCTAGAACGCTGAACCGTTCCTATTGTAGCACATGACATGCTCCTCCACCCCCAACGATAGGCCTGTCAATTTCTGACATAACCCGTTAACCCGATACGAAGCGACACGAAATTAACAAGTTATCGAGTCGACACAATAACGAATCGGGGCGTTATCGGGTAACCCGATAAGCACATGTTAAGATAACAAGTTGGTTTGGGTATACACGTGGGTAATCTGATACATGATAAGCAAAATATTAATTTAATAATTTTATACTCTTAAAAATACTATAATAATTATATATTATATATATTAAATTACATTTAGAAAATTTGAAAAATGAGGTAATATATTTTTATATGGTATAATACTATTGTTTTATTTCTTTTCATAATTATTTTGGTAAACTTCTCATAATTTGAATGGTTTATAATATTTGGTTTTTCTATACGTAGTTTATGCAGAAGAGAGTTCTGATGTGGAAAACCTTAGTGAAAACGTTATCAACATAACTCTTGACGGCAATAGATCAAGTCAAAGTTCCAAAACAATTTCCCCATGATGATTGATGAAAATTGAAGGATTTTGTAAAAGGAATAACAAGCAAGCTTTGACTTTCATTGGTAAGGTTTTAACTTCTGAGAAAGGCTTCACAACCTTGGGAAAAAAAAAAAAAAAAAAACTCCTTCATTTTTCATATCCTTGCACATTTGATATTTTGTAGTAGACTAATAATGTATTGGTGCTTTTTTATTAGGCTCTTAGTTTGGAGTGTAGATGTAGTACTTAATGACAAATGTGTTTTTATCTTTTGAAGTAATATTTATGTGGCAATGTAGTATGTGCAAATTTAAGGAAAAAAAAAAATTTCTTAACGGGTCGGGTCATTTTACCTGTTAGGTAAAGTGACCTAACCTGTTAAGGACCCATTATGATAACGGGTGTGACACAACACAACCCGTTAAGATAATATGTGTTACACAAAAACGACATGAAACACAAAAAACACGACTTGTTTTTCAGGCCTACCCGATGCATTGCCGCCCTCATTGCCAAAGAATGCTTGGTCGGTCTAGAATAGGTCTTTTCGCTCAACGAGGTTGCCATAATAGGTGTTGTTGATGAGTTGGGGCTTTGAGGGTCAACGACTACCACTGTGACGTCACCCCCAATCAATAGATAGGCAAACTACATCTTTGCCCCATACTGATGGTCCATGTTGTTGTCATTGTTGTAGATAAGATCCTGGAAGAACCAACAGCTCGCCCTCCCGATGGTGTAAGAGCTAGACAAGGCCACCATCTCTACCTCCGTGAAGCTTTTGGCGATGAACTTTTGCTTAAGTTTGGTGAGAGGGGAATTTGGGCCAGGCAGTTCCATGGTGGCGGTGGCATTGGGTGTCAGAGAATCCTTCTAGCCAAGCTGGACTTCCCAAGTTGGCCTGCCCACGACCATGATCATTTTTCTAGCTACCACGATCAGAATGTACGCGTAGGACACGATGCCCAAGTAGACATTCTCGAGCTCGGACTTTGCAGCATCGACAACCTGGAATCTGTGGAGTGAATAAGGAGGGGTGCCCTTGTCTCCTTTCTTGGTAGAGGTGTCGTCTAGCAAGATGGAGTCATCACAGCCCTGCATGAAGTAGTCGTATAAGTGCATGCGGTGCAAGGAGAATATGAGTCGAGCCTCTTCAACG